CTGGCCGTTGACGGGATGATGCTGAGCCCCAGCACGATCACTTGAGGCGATGGCCATCTTGCAAGTCCATATTATATATTATATTATACTATATTATACTATATTATACTATATTATATTATATTATATATTATATTATATTATATTACATTATATTGTATTGCATTATATAATATGATGTATAATATATAATATACACACAGTACATATGCATATTTATTTATTTATATATATATATACATACATATATATATATACATATACTGTGTATATATATATATACACAAAGTAATATAGAGTATGGGATTGAGTTTTTAGGGCTCATGGGGTGTTGGATCCCGTTGGGCCTGCGAGACCTGACTCTGGAAAACCTCGGCTTCCTGTCGTTGCACTTGGCATCGCATCGCAAGCTCCTGGCTGTACTCTTACACCCTTTATGGGGCGAATGAAACGTCACACAATTTTTTTGGGGGGTTATAGATAGTTCTAGCCAGCAGTTTATGAAAACCTGCATCGCAAGCTCCTGGTCGGCTTTCAGCGCCCTCTCTTCTGCTGCCCTTGCGCGCTCCTCCTGTTCAGCCAGTTTGGCTGTGGCTAGCTGCTGCGACTTCTTGGCCTCTTCGAAAGCAACGTTGACTTCCTGCAGCTGGAGCTCCAGAACTCGCAGCTCCTCCGCTGAAGGTGGTGAGAAGCTGAGTGCATCTTGGGGCGGCTGGAGCTCCTGCATTTCGCCAGCACCGACATCCAGCTGGCCCCGTAGCTCCAAAGAGAGCATGATTCCTTCGTCGTCCGGGGCGACGCACCGAGTGTAGACGGCTGACACAAGCTCGTGTTCCTCAATGTCCTCCCCAATGGCCTGCCCCGCCATCTGGAAGATCACCTTGCTCCAATCCAGGTCCAAATCTGCGAGGCCTATGTGTTTCGGAAGAATCTTTCGCAAGTCTCTGCAGGTCATGGAATCAGGAATCAGAAGCTTCTTGTCAAGCGCAGGCAATCCTGGCACCGCTGCTTGATTGATGAGAACTGGAACACGGTCGGGGTGCTTCTTGCGAATTCGCCGGGTCCTTTCAAGGATGTCGTCCTCCTTGCGATCCTCAGACATCGCCGCCTTGGCCTTGGCCTTTGCTTTCTTCTTCTTCTCCTGCGTGCCACTCTCCTGCTGCGGGACACTCTCGTCCATCTTGAATTCTTGGGGCCCTGTTGGTGCTTCCTGAACATCACCCTTCGCGGCTTCCACCGTGAAATACATCCCTCCGTCCGGTGCCCTATACTCAGAATCCAGCTGCTGCAGGGTCTTCTGTGCAGGCACCTCCATGGTATCGGTAACCTTTCCCTTGTTGCATAGCAAGACTTCGCCGCCTTGCATGGCCCACGGGCACTTTTCACGAGCTATCGTCTGGAACGCAGCACTTGTGGTCTGAAAGGGCACAATGAGCTTTTGCTGCTTCGTGGCATCCCTGCTGTGCACACAAATAACCGGCACATGTTCAGGGTACTTCTTGCGGAGCTTGTCCATCTTGCCCTCCATTGCGCAAGAGGAAATACAACCAAAGGTCAAGCGAAGGCTTGAAGAGAGTAGCTTGAGCATTGCATGCACATATATGCATACATACATACATACATACATACATACATACATATATATATATACACACACACCCACATAAATGAAAATGCGGCATGCTCTGATATAAACATCGAGACAATGCCCTCGCGAACGTGAACCTGTCGTTCATGAACGGAGCCGGGCGGCCCCAGTCACGGCTGCAATTCCCGTCAGGTCCTGGCCCAAGCCATCCTGCAACATCTCGCGTCTAATCATGGTGGGTCTTTCGGGTGGTTTACAGTGTCTGCACCACTGGTGCAAAGAAAATTTGGGAATACGGCATATGTACACTTTTGTGGGCACCCCCGCACCGGCATACACATTACAAAAAACAATGACGCCGGTATATGTGGGCAAACTATGAGCAAACAGGTGCCTGCACGAGTGGTTGGTACGACACTTGCTGTTGCTGCCGTGCCGAATCGTCTACCGTACCGCACTTGCCCGTACCGGCTTTGACCTTTCACAGCATGCCAAAACTTGGAGGCGGCACACGCCGACACCCATAGAGACCAAGTGGTTCAGGCTTGCTTGGAAGTCTGGGCACGCCCTTTCAGTTACACTACTTCAAAATCAGCACCCCAACCATTGAGCTAGACGGTGTCATGACTTGGCGCATTCTGGGATTAAGGGGTTCAAGAAGGTTCAGGGTTTTTGTCTGTCTTCTAGATTTACGCGTGTCATCCTTGCACAGCAGCGTGCTAATCTCTCTATGTCTGTCGGATGATCTGCAGATTTAGGGTTCCATAACCCTACAAAACCGGCATAACCCTCCATAGGCCTATATAACCAACCCTATCTACCCCCATACAATCGCAGCCCGAGGATACCTAAGTAGTAGGTTACTAACTATGAAATACATAAGCCAGTAACCCACTGTTCAGGTAACTGGAGCCCTAGCCCTAAACCCTAAATCCAACAAGCAACCCTAAAAACCCTGAATAACCCCAAATGCAATCCTAAACACTAAACCCGAAACCCAAACCCTAAACCCCCAAAAAGCAAGCATAAACCCTAAGCCCCAAAAAGGCAACCCTAATCCTAAACCCAAATGAACCCTAAACCCAAAACCCAAAAAAAGCAACCCTGGTCCTCGGCTCCCAGGAGGAGACGCAAGGCCCTCCGCCAGGCTCCGGCCACCTGACAAGCGCGAAGAGCCGAGTTGAAACCTGGCGTCCGCTTGGAGAGCTTCAGGGGTTTTAGGGCTTGAGGGCATTAATTAAATAATTTAGGGGTTGAAGGGTTGAGGGGTTTAGGGGTTTGAGGGGTTGAGGGCTTTAAGGGTTGAGGGTTTTAGGGGTTTAGGCCGGTTTAGGGCTTTAGGGTTTAAGGGCTTTAGGGGTTGAGGGTTTTTGGGGGTTTGGGGGTGACAAAGGTTTAGGGTTGAGGGCTTAGGCTTTGGGCCCACTGTGGGTTGAGGGTTTAGGGGTTGAGGGTTGAGGGTTCAGGGTTACGACCCAAAATCTCGCGCAAGGCAGCCATGGCTACACGACGTCCGAGCTTTAGGGTTTAGGGGGTGAGGCTTCGGGTTTTGGGGTGTCGGGGTTGGGGTTGAGGGCTCGGGGCTTGTAGGGTGTGGGAGCTTGAAGGTTGAGCCTGCATGCGAAATATCGAGTAGACTGGAGGTCGAAGGTGAGGCTTGGTTTAGCTGTGTCTACGGCCTGGGATACACTGTATTTTGTAGTGTACAGATATCGGTATGTATATATATATATACATATGTACATATTCTATATCATGTTCTACAATGAATTATGTCATAACGTATATTCTTATATACGTATATATTGGTATATATAATACAGCATACAGTGTGTGTATATATATTTATTTATTTATACGTTTTGATCCGTTGCCTATCACATGTTTTACTGGTGAATATACTGTTTACAGTATGTTGTATGTTGCAAAACCCTTATCCCCAAATTCTAAGCGGCAGCTCGGACACAGAATTCGCCGAGAAGCTATGGCGATCCGGATGCAGGGCGGTGTCGCACATCTCGTCAAACAACCTCGGAAACTAGTGGAATTCGGTTAAGGGTTTAGGGTTTAGCCGAGCATGTCAAACAAGCTCGGAAATTAGTGGAATGCGGGTTATAGAGGTTTAGGGTTTAGCCGAGCTTGTCAAACATCGGAAACTGGAATTGAGCCTATACATGTGTATATTCGACATATGTGTATGTATATCCACAGACATTGTAGCAACCCAGCATCACATAGGAAGTGTATGTGCTAGGCATACATGTACAGATGTAGCATACAGACAGACAGATAAATGGACGGACAAACAAACAAACAAACATAC